GCAGGTCCTCCACGCTATCGTCTACAAAATAATGGGTTTAAACCCACTGATCATTTTTATGCATATGTTAAATGATTCGTTCTTATCACCATTCAAACGTTTTAAACCATATCAAGATCACATTTTTGTGTTCGTGTTGTTTATCGTTGGGTTCTCCGGATATCGCCCAGGAAACGGGCGTGAAGCTTCACTGTTCAATCGCGTTTTCAATTAAGCGATCTCCAAATTTTGCGTGTTTTTGAGCCTTCCGACATCTAATTTTTGAAAACCAAGGTATTTTTGGACACAACATCAATAGGTTATCTTATTCCTGTGGTCTGTTGATCGCTTTCTTTCAAATTCTTTGAGCAATCATCGGATGAAACACTTTTCTGGTGTCATTTTTTAGCGGTCATTGAAACTTCATTGGCTGGCTCACGAGTGACGTAATAATGGCCAAGATTATCGGGCGCGCAATCGCATCGCTACGCAAGCAAAGTTGACCTCTCCCTCCTGGAAATAACCGAATATCTGGTGATCCTGCCCATCCGGGTTCACTGTATTCTCGTCCCCAGAGCCTCCGAATGAATGGAGCCAGATTTCACACTTTTTTCACAGGTTACTCGACAGTATTTCATTATCCAAATAAAAAAGAAGAAAGAAATTTAAGTATGCGGACATCGGGAGTAGAACACGGGAAATTTTATTCAAGATACCGGCATTCACTAACCACTACACAATCAGAGTGCTGGCTGCCAAAAACCTGAATTTTTTATGTATACATACTGCAAGCCTAAATATATGCAATACAGTCTCGCCCAAACCACAAATGAAAGCTTATTGAAAGCGAACCCGAGTGGGACTAAGCGCTGGAAGGCCGGGCTGAACTAACCGCGTGAAACCCTGAGTGGAACTAACCACAAGCAAATGGGAGAAGTGTTAACCATGCATAGTGGGCTAACTTGGTCTCATACATTGTTCCTCCATATAAAAAGTCACGATATGTATAACTTGGTCTTGGTCTCACTCATCGCTATCAAAGGTTTTCCCAAAATGGCAAGCGGGAGACGAACCGCCAATTTAAAAATCGTCGAGGAGAAGCCCTGGGGACGAGGTTACTGCTTGGTGATAGCGAGGTGCTTCTCAGTGTCTTTCAGTGTCAAGCATCTGTTTGGAAAAGTCAGAAGGGCGACCAAATGTTACTTTTGCATGTTGGCATCCAAGGTTCCTCCTCAAGTGATTGCTTTTATCTTTCGGTGCATGACTACATCTTGCTTACCCGCAAATCGTTCGAGCGATGCAATGTTCAGAAGGGCCTTGTTAACCTAAAGAAAAAAAATACTAGTAACAGTTCAAGGTGCGATGTTCTTCAAATTACTGATAAACGCGTGCACAATACCGTGGTCATGGGTTTGAAATAACCAGATTACTTATCATTCGATCTTCTAGAGTTCTTTTGTAAAAATAGCAGTTCATACCAATGCATTGGAATGAAACCTAACTTCTAGGTTCAAACAATCACATTGAGGTAGAGTAGTAATCAACAAATTTAAACTGTCGTAATTAGCCTATTAGTTTGATGCATTTAGTTAAACAAGTCGGCGCTGTGTGTATTAACGCTATTTAGCTATTGTCAGTATCCTCACCTCAAATGACTGCATTTCTAGATTACAGGCGACTCGCTGTGGGCGGAACAAAAATGAAAAAAAAAAACAACAACAACAAACAATATTTTATAAAGCTCGGTATTTCTGTAGAAACCTGCAGAGAAATTACATTTGTGACTAAGAAACATTGAACTCGAGCCATTTTAGTTAATACCTGAATTTTTCTGTTGTTCTTCCAATATCGACATTTGGAGTTGAAGGGCTATTTGGACTCGAGCTGAAAAGGAAATTATCATTATGAAAAGGATCAACTATTGAAATTAAAGGACACAATAAACTTTTGCGAAGAACGAAAATCCTGGCAGCCCTCAGTTAGGGAAAGGTCATCAGCTGGAGTTGTATCGTAGCACGAGTCAAGTTCGAGTCAGGTTAATTTTTTTTCAAATTTTCCACTGCGGAAAAAAATACACTGAAACCCCCTTCCCTCGCTTTATTTGTGTGCCTTCTTTCTATGTTGCTGTAGAGGTTTAGGTCGTGTTACTAGTAAAGTCGAAGTAAAGGGATTTCGGGGAATTTTGCCAGTTCATTGTTTTCCAGTGTTTTTGACGGGCTGCGATGAGAAATATTCGTTTGCCAGCTATCACATATGCACTGTAGGTGAAACCTGGAGACAATGGGAGCTTTTGAAGCAAATTTATGGCTATTTTCCTCCTTCGGTACATTTGCTGGGCTTCGCAAAAGGGTCGCGATGAAATGTATCTGTTAACGTGGGTTTCGATGAAAAACGTCTGTGAAATTTGGGAGCTTATATTCCAACTTGGCGGACGTTTGCCTGAAAAATAGCTGTGAGATTTGCGAGCTTAAATTCCCACTCCGTCGGCGATGTGGTAAAGATGGTTAGGGGAACTATCAAACATGCTCTTGGTGAAATCTCAAGGCGATGGGAGCTTTGTAGCAAATTTATGCCTAAAATAAAGTGTCTACGTGTCTCAGATTGAACTGAATTCTTTGAAGGAAAAAAAAAAAAAGAAAAAAACAGGCCCAAAATTTTAGTGTCTGTGATACGAATAATCTGTAGCCTGTTCCAGGCTCTCGGTCAGTGGGGAAGATCGAATTAGCGGGCGGGCGACAAGCGGGAACTGGTAGAAAAAAAGGTGAGATCGCGCTCGTCGCTGACCCCGCTCGTCCGTTTGCCCGATCGCTGGCACAGACTAAATAAACTACGGTTATCAAAAGTTTTAGACGCTTGCGAGATCGCGGTGTCCTTAGAGATTTTTTTGCAATGATTAAATCCACTTAAAATGGACATAAGCTTTTCGCGAGAGCTTCTGTGTGACCTTGCGATTTGATAGCTCGTCCGGGAGCTCATCATACAAGTGTCGTACGTGTTGTTGTTGAACGGCTACAAAACGTTTTGTCTGTGGGCGAAATTTTGAAGCTTGGATTGGATTTCAGTTCCTGAAGCTCTAGCCCTAGTTCTAGTTCTTGTTCTAGTTCTCCTTGCTCCCGCTTTGTGAGATTGTTCGTCCAATGCGACTTATGCTTCTCCAACGTTATTTGCGTAACATGAAGAGTTTATCCTCAAGAGCAGGATTTTCTCGCAGTGGATTCAACGCCCGCGGTTGAAACTCATAATCTGATGTTATCAAGCCTTAGAGACTCGCAATAACCGCAGTGTTAAAATGCTCGACGAAACTTTTCGCTTTGGTTTCTGAAATGTAATATTTCATGAGCTCAACCCTCCACCGCAGGATAGTATCATCGATATGACCCAAGGCTTGACATTTTCGGTTGTCGCATACGGGAGGTTCGACTGTACATGGCCGGAATCTTCTTCCAACAGAAACTCGAAGTGCCACGAATGTATATATGTTTAAAGTTAGAAGTAAGAGGTTTCTTATGTAGTTATGAGTACTCTAATTACAGTTATAATATAATAATTTTACTTTTTTATTCATTTGGTACTTCTAACCAATTCGGTGATCTGCTTTTATATGGGGTCCTGGACTCTTTTACAGATTATCCCTTGGCCTTTTTTTAATTTTTATTATTTTTTGTGTTTACATATAATTATCTTTAGTGCCATGAATTGTAATAAACATAAACATTTAAACAATAGACCACAAGTTTTTATGGTTTATAGGCTGATAAACCACGCGGGATGTTGGAAGAACACGAGAAGAATTCGTAAATTACGAGCCGCAGGCGAGTGATTCACGAATTCTTCGAGTGTTCTTCCAACATCCCAAGTGGTTTARCATGCCTCTAAACCATAAAAACTTGTGGTCTATTGCTTTTATATAATAATTCAGAAGACACGCGAAATTTCCATGAGTTTATTGGCACAATAAACCATAGCTGATTGACCAATCAGAGCGCGCGCATTCATTTAATTATTACATAAATGATTATAGAATCTAAAACAAATAGGTACGCGATGTGTACATGTGTCTACGCTTTTATCTTTGTTGTTGATACATGGTGTTATTCATCTAAATGCCCAATAAACATATATTTATTTGGCATGAGTTATTGTTTGACTATTAGAACCCTGTTTTCTGTTGGCATTGTCACATGTCTTTTTGCAAACAGAACTGACTTTTTCCCGTTGTTGATACATCTAACTAAACCTCCCTGACTCCACTATGTTAATTTTCAAGTTAAAGGACTCAGTCACACTTTGTATAATAAAACAATCGCAAGATGTGCCTAATGTTTTTCCATTTTGTTCAAATGGTCAATCCACGAAGTTTCTGTATTGCTTTCAACAAACGTCTCAGGATTATCCCAAAGATATTAAACTCCTGATTGTCTTAAATGTAAATGATGTTTGGAATCACCATACATCTGATGTGAAACAGCTGTATAAAAACAATCGCCTTGTACTCCTACCTCCAAAGCAATTAGCTACAGTCCCATTTGGCTTAAGCGGGCTCTCAGTTGGAACTTGCAGTTGGTATCCTTCGAATTCAAGAGAGTGTTGTAATTACCTGCTGTTGATTGTTGATACATGGTGACATTCAACTAAATGCCTTATGTATACTTCTTTTGGATGTGTATCATGACTAAATTACAGAAATCCCCCTGAAATCTCTCTGAGATTCCACTACTTTAATTTTAAACTTAAAGGACTCAGTCTGCAATGCATTGTACAATATCAAGTGTCTCACAGCATGAATCTTGTTTTCCACTGCGCTCAAATAAGCAATCCCCGAAATTGCTGTATTGCTTTCTTCTCTTCTCCGGGTTTTGTCTAAGATAATCAACTGCTGATTGTCTTGCAAATAAATGATCTTTACAGTCATCATATATTTGATGTGCCACAGCTCCACAAAAACAATCACTGTTCCCCCCCGCCCCTACGTCTATAGCCTGTACGCAGGCTCTCTAGTCGAAAATGGGACGAAGAGAAACCGTGAAGAAAGATAATAGAACTGACAGGAGAAGAAAGAGAGAGGAGGAGAGAACCTGTAGACAAAGGATTGAAGCCGCCGTTTAATTAACCTGTCATTTATCTACCAACAGCATGCCATAATTTTCGCGTGGATGCATTGGAATGTAAATAGATCGCATGCGAAAACTGACAGTTCCAGGGAAAATACGCGCTTTTGTAGAGTGAAATGGAGCGGTCGAACCCCATTGTCGGTTTTAGTAAATACGTAATAAGTCATTTACTTGTGGTCCTAAAAGAGCAAAGCCTTATGCGTCAAACGGCGCGACAATGACTGATGATGCTAAAAGAGTAAACGCGGTACTGGTGTTCGGCATGTTCAAAAACAAGGAGCTACTTGTCGATTAGACAACATTGTTGAGGCTCATGCGCTAGAAAACCTGGGATTTCAAATCGTGCAAGAAGAGGGTTTTTCCGACCTGAGTCGTATGGCATATGCTTGACACGATATCCATCAGTAACAGGCAAAATAATGTACTTGCAGCAATTTCAATCAAGCAGCAGGGCTTCGCGTTTGCAATATAAATAGAAGTAAGCAACTTGCTCGCGTAATCCCTCTAGAGCTAATACTGAAAAGAGCTTAAAACATATCTTGCGATAGAATTGAGTCTTAGAAAAGGTACACCAAAGGCACATGTCAAATTGCAGTCGCGTCAAACTCTACGAAGCGACATTCAGATAATAGCGGAAACCTTGCAGACCTCTGACTTCTAAAATATTTTTAATAACAAAATCAAACGGCTCTACTCTATTTAAAACTCTTCCTAATAACACGGCACTAAGTGACCGCAGAAGCGCGTGTGAAGCAACGAAAGGTCGAGAGACCGAAAATCAAACGAAAATGGCAAATGTACAAATTTCATGCATGGTAGGAGTCGCGGAAGCCTGCCAACCCCATTGTACACTAAACTTTTCCAAAATGCTGTGGGAACGTTCCGAAAACATCCATTTTCTTGGTCACAGACCGTAAGCAAAGTTTTTATTTTTCTTTCAGCTGTAAAAAATGAACGAAATCTCTCAGCGACGGAATCGCTCCTCTTTCAAACAGATCATTTGTTAACCGCTTACCGCCAGAAGACGCCAGAATAGTGACACACATACAAATTTTTAATGATTGGGTCGGAAAAGTGGACGTGTCAATCGAACCTGTCAACAATCAGTGATCTGACCAATTAGAGGTTGCACTAGATTGTAGTGCACAGCGGGTGCCTTGGAACGGTGGCATATAACCTTTGTCCACAGGCTCCGACACCCAAACCTCACTTCACTCTGAGCCAGTTCCTTCTTGGCCCTTTCAGCCGCGGCCAGACCCTTCCAGCCGGGGTCAAACCCTTCCAGCCGGAGCCTATTCACAGGCTACTACGTCTAAAGAAATAAGGCCCAATTACTGTATTCGAGCCTTCGATACAATTTCGCAGCTTGCTTCATGGACATGATTTTCCCCAGTTGAAATTAGTGACATTTTTTATCCAAGTTTAACCCCAGTTAACTTCACTTTCTGATAGTTGGTTTCACCGGAATGTATGCCCTAAGTACAAAGGTCAACAAATCTTGCTAAGCCCTTAGGCAAAGGGAGATCATTCACAGATACGACACAACCTTAGATTAACAAAGCTTTGCAAGCCCTGCTACGGCAGGATGTTGACAGATACGACGTTACCTTTCTGTGACATGAATTGACCCTTTAACTTTACCTGAGGCGAAATGAACCGGAGGCAGGACGCTTTCAAATCCGATTTTAAACTCACTTGAAGAAGCCCTTCAAACACCCTATCGACCTTCTCATAGTAAACGAAATGTCAAACGACCTGTCATCAGAACAAATCACAGAACGAATAGAACAAAAATTCCTATCTTTAATGTCGTAGATATATCAAACGATCTTTCAACACACACCACAAGAATATACGCCCTTTCATGGCAAAAAAAACTACTTTAAGTAACACTAAAGAACTTCCACGGTTTTTCCTGCATAATAGCTAAACCGCATGCGCGTAGCCACAAAAACTAAGGTAATTCTCTTGATATTCATTTTTACTGCATGTACATTAACTCTTTACGTGGGGCGATTTTTGATTATTGCCATTAAATAAATTAAATAATTAAGACAGATTACCGCAAGGAATCTCTGAAAGCTCATACATGACAAAGAAATGATATCTGTTAGGTCCTGTATTCAAGTGCTCGTTAAAGTTTTGGCATATTACTTATCCGTTACCTATCGCAAAAGATCATAGTCTCTTGCCTTTCCACAACCCAAGAAGTACGTATAACCTGAGAAGTATTATACAATGGCAACTTCTTTTCAACACACCCCCCACCGTCGAACTTCACATGTACCGAAGGTAATGCATACATTACAGATACTTAATATTTAGCTTTACTTTTAGCGAAATTTTAACCGTGTTTAAATAAAGATTATCTAACTGTCTATACCCACGACTCTAAACGTTCAAGGTGTCATGCGCAAAAGGCATGCTTTGAAAAAAGATGTCCGGAACGAAGAGAGCTTGGTTGTCGTGCTTCAAAACAACAAATAAACTGGTCTTATGTCCAATGAGTACAGGATCACAAACTTTTTTTCCGTCGAAGACAGTAGACCGGCTGTCGAGAGCTCATGGTTTTTGTAACTTTTTGCCATGGAACGTTATAGCGGAGCTCCGGCGGCCCGAATGCCGCCAAGCGGAACCCCAAACTCATATAGGAAAGAAAAGTTGATTTTCTCATGGTTATCATGGCTAGCGGTATTGCTCGTGGGCGCGTATGCAGGACGACGGCGACGGCGACGCGCAATATGGCGGTTATACTCCAAATAATAGGTTGATAGAGACATGCAACCTTGGTTTACCGTGTACTTCTTTGATATTGGACATTCATGTTATGATCAATTGACACCTGCATCCATCACATCCGTTGACCAGTATCACGTGACCAAATCGCGGGCTCGAGTTTGTAAGTCATCGAGGTCACATGTTTTTTGAAATTGACTGCTGAGCAAATGCTGGGTTTCGATTGGATCGCGGGCTCATGTCAGGTTAACTTGTTGAAAACAGGGCAGGATTGTTCGGGAGCCAGTTAAAGCTAACCCAGGACTAAAAGTTAACCGAATTATAAATTTTTCTGCTATACAAATGTTTTTTGCTGCTTTCTTTCGTGTATATGGTGATTACAAAAACTCAAAACAGAAGGCCAAACAACATACAGAAAACCTCACCGCAAAGTTACAAAACTCAGATCAAAATTCTACCTTTTCCTGGGTTAGCTTAATCGGGCTCTGAAGAACGCGGCCCAGGAGCTACGCTTTTAGGCGGGCCTAAATCTATATATTATTCGATCTATATTATCATAATCAATCCTGGTAACGGATCCGCGATTTTTTTTAAGTACGAGATCCAGGAACAGTCTTAAAGTTGTCTCGTTGGGATGAAATCAACAATAAAACAAAGAAAGAAACATTTAGAACTTGTCTTTTACGTGCAACAAGGTGGTTTAATGCCATTTGCAGGTTTAAGCACCTTTAATTCTATTTTCACGGTTGGCGTTAGCGACTATACTGAACAAGATCCGAATTTGCACATCTTACAGAGATTACCTTCTCGCCATAATGAAAACACCGAGACTTCCAAACAAGAATTGCTGACCTAAAAGGTTTTGTGTTGAATTAGCAATTACATTCGACGCCATTAGGTTCGACGTCTAAATCGACTGCCGGACTCAATCATTTGAGTCGACTCAAATAGGTTTTTAACGATACCTTAGTAGGAAAACATACGCGTAAAATCATCTACAGGTTTTGACTGATGTAATTTTTAAAAGTTTTTCACAAATGTTATACATTACTAGTATTTGTAGCGCCACATCAGCAGTAGCTGCCGTCTTATGAACGTGCCTTACAAATAAAGTTGTATGAATGTATGTTCGATATCGGCTTTTGTCGCGAAAATCAATTATTGGGAAATAAGAGTTGCTTACCTATTTAAGCCTTGATTCTGGTAGCTCTTTGGAAGGTCACTCGCATCAGGAGGTATGTCATCTACTTTGCGATCAGGTGGGTGACTATCAAAAGTATAACAATACGTTTTGTAGCCCTTAAGGATATATAGCTTGTGCAATGCGGGATGTATACAGATGTACGTACCTCCATGGCTTAAGTTTAACTTGAGAATGAGGTGCTTCAGGGCTGAAATGAAAGAAAAATGTTATCGGATTTCATAAATTCCTCTCTCGACTGAAATTGGCCTCTTCGCACTCTCCCTTTTTACGGTGTTAAAATCGAGTTTGGTATCTGATTGTTAAATACAGGCCAAAGAAAACATGAAGTTTTTTTTAAATTCACATGAAGTGCCACAGAAATTTCGTTTTCGCCCACAGAGGTTTTCATTAAAAAAATAACGTCTTTCAAGGATAAGGTATTTCCAAAATTAATGCAAAAAGTTGTTGATGACACAGCCATTCAATGCAGAGATTCGTATTAAGAGAGATAACACCAAAAGACGCCTGCAAGGTATTCTCTGATCACGAGGTAAAGAGGGGAGAGAGGAATCAGCAACAACTTAAGATCAGTATTTTAACTACGTAAATTTTCTGAGGTCAAGTACCTAAAGGTTACTAAACTCACTTCTAAAGCGGGTTCTAAGCACTGTCTAAAATATAATTACTGGCAAGCCTTAGGGAGGCAGAACACTATTTGAGAGGGTCAGCATTGTTACACAACAAATAAGCGGGTGAAAATTCTCGATGTCAGATTTAGGGCATGCGCAATTTGGCTTTTTCATTATGCGACGTCACCATTTAATGCTTTGTCCTGCGCATTCCACACCGCACGTGTTGCTGGAGGTGAGAAAGATTCGCAATATATTTCTAAATTCCCAGGAAGTATTAATCAAGGTTATGATCAGTTTTGCGATGATTCTCGAGTTTTCATGAGTTTGTCTGCCCTACTATGCGACCAGTTGTGGCCAATTCACCAATGGAGGTGCGAAGAAACGCTATGCACTTCGAATGCGACAATTATCAGATAAAGAGACTTGTCTTTTGAGTAAATTACCACCTTCTGCTTGCCTGTCTTCGGAGATATTCGTGGAAGGTGATTTGAAAAACAGATCTGTAGTGAAAGTGAGTTCTCTAAAGTGCATCAAGGGAAAGCGTGAGGTTACTAGTTGGCCGAATGAGGCTAAATCTTCGACCCTTGGGTCAAACTGTCTTTCGCCCTTCAGACAAAATATTCGACCGTTGAGTCTAAAAGTCTCTAGCCCGTTGAGGCAAAACTTGAGGCAAAATATTTAATTGTGAGTCAAAAAGTCTGTCTTCAGGTGAGGCACAACATTCGACTTTAGAGTTGAAATATTGTTCGCATAGTCTGTCAAAATATTCGACCGTCGAGACAAAGTGTTCGTCGTCAGCCGCTGCAGAATGTTAAACTTTTCAATCAAAATGTTCTTCAAACATGCGGAGAAAGGACCATTGACGGCGTTTGTCGTGAAGCACAGCTCGACACTGTATTTGATGTGGAAAACGCCATCAGGGGTCAATGAATATAAATTATGATAGGCGACATCCGAACTGTTCTTTGCGCTCAGTCTTGATGAATACTTTCCCTTCCAATAAGTATGCAATTACTTTCTTGGAAATGTTCTTTGGCTATTTTAAGCGCATCACATTTAGATTCCAGAATGCAGTGGACCTCTTTGTTATTGTTATTGCCCTCTTAAATTCACTTTTACTTTCAATTTCTGAGAATTATTTATACCAAGGGTTAACGGTTACAATTAAAGTTATACTTGCATGAATGTATCAAATTATTCATTGTTTCCTGTCCCCAGGGCCTTGTCTACTTTTCAAAATTGCGGTCGGGAGAATAGCCTGACCAATGCTGAACTAACGCCCTTGCTGATTGGCCCATTCACACGAACAGGCTGATTGTTTAAAATAATCCTAAAGACATGGCGGACGTGGCGAGTTTTTATACGAAGAAGAAAGGGCTATAGGAGGTTGTTTTGCAGTTCAGTTCAAGCGATGTTGAATCAGACTGCCGTTTACGATTCGAAAGGTGAATCTTTTCCGTCAGATTTTAACTTACAAGATGTAACCCATGCCATGGAAGTAGAAATAACCGCGGGAAAATATTAATAACGAGCATGAGGTTAAAGCTTTTATTGAAGTACAGATCTGCTGGCAGCTAGCGAGCTGCAGGTCACCAGAAGCGGCCTTATATGTGCTGTTTTTCTTGTTCTATATTCATGCGCAATTAGATTTTCTGCGTATGGAAACAAAGTTGACCTATCGAGGGATGAGAGAGTTTGAAGCGTTTGTTATGTTCGAATTTCAAATCTAAAAGCAGCTTTTGTTCGTTACTGACCAGTAGTATACCTCAGATAAATAGACCAATTCATTCATGAATTCATTTCCTTTAGTTAATGAGATAAGGATGGTACAACTGGTTTAATGAGATTTCAATTACTCAGAGTATTTTAGCGAGTAGTATTTAAGTATTTAAAAATTGAGTAGCTATCGATTACTCAGAGTACTTTTAATGAGCAGTATTCAAGTATATCGAGTACCTTTTGAGTTTCTCGGAGCGATTTGAGAAATGTCTTGAACATTGTTTGAAGATATTGAGTAATAACTAATTACCCTATATCCAGTAGTGAAAAGTTACTCATAAATGTTGTCATTTATTTACCTGAAAGTGTCTGTTTGGTATTCCTTTGAATAATCGCCCATGCATGCAACGGAATGTTTTCCGTTACGTTTAAATTATCTCCTTAAAACCAGTTTAACCCGTTCCTAGCAAGTTGTGTCGCCATTTTGAATTATCAAATCCAACCGGTCTCAAACCAGTCTGACTGGTTTGAGAGTGCTCCCTGATTGGTTCTCAGCCAAGCCTTTGTTCTTTCTCTATATAAGCGCCACATTACCCGGATGGTTAGGCGGTCAGTTAACTCCACTACATCACACACATCTCTCCTAAAAACTCATTTATTATTAAACTAGTGGTTCCATAGTAGAAGTGAAGTGTTGCCCCATGTAGAAAGATGGTGGGGGTGAGACGTGAAGATATCACATGGTGTTGGAGATCGTCGGAAAAACATAGTAAATTAATGTCGGAGAAATAAGCAAGTTTGACATTGAATTCTATTGTATTTTTTATTTAATTAAGCCTTGTTTTCTTTCTTAAAACATAAGCTTTTACAGCTTCGCACTCGTTATTTTTCAAGGGATTAGTATCTAACAGACCCAAACGGACAAGGGTAATATTCAACTCGAATGATTTATTTTACTGGTACATTTGATTTTTTTTTTGCTCTTTGTAGATTTGTGCTACAGTCGAACCTCCGGTTGCGACCACCTCTCCTCAGCGACCAGTTTTCCAAAATACCAAAATTTTCCAAGTCAAATCACTATATTTGGAACCTGTTGTAAGCGACCACCTCTCGTAAGCGACCGCGACCGCTTTTAGAACTAAAAGTTTGAATTTTTCCTTGTTTTTAACCTCCCGTAAGAGACCACTTGACAGATAATGGAGCGAAAAATGGCTAATAAGGTGTTGTGACATTATCACATTCCTCGGTAGTACAAGAGACGGAAATTTCTTAATGGGAAGAACCGGATTTTTTTCTCGAAATTGACTTTTACATGAATAAAACGGGTGAAGTCTCGGCAGTTACCATATTCTAATGAGGAAAAATTTGCACCCATATGGTCTAAGCTCTCGTAAGCGACCACCTCCCATAAGCGACCACCTAGGTTTGACATTTTGCGTGGTCGCTTACGGGAGGTTCGACGAAAAATTGTCAATAATATAATTCTTCTTCTGATAAACTGCTATCGAAAAGTGATAGATATTTGAGTTGAAACAATCATGTAACATGGACAGTAACAAACTGTACAGTGTGGGGCCCAGTTCTCGGCCACTTTTTGTTCAGCGATTATTTCTCGCGCCACAAATGAATCTGAATAAAAAGCAATTGTTTCCAAAAGTAGCTTGATTCCTTGTCTTCCGTTCTGCCTAGTTTTGTTTCGTCCTGCCGAGTTTTTCTGTGAGCACGTCGAGGTTACGCGAAGGTAGGTGAATTTGGTTTCCCCGAAAACGTGTTTGTTTACGGCTACTCGAATTA